CAAATGTATAAGTGTGCTTTACACAATTGATCTATGTATTGTGATGAATTGTATGAACCCCAATAAAATGATTAAATAAAAAACAGTTAAGTGCTCAACTGTCAAGTGAGAGGTTGAAGGTTCAACCTCAACCGCAGGCACCTTGGAGGAAAGTCCTGGTGCTCTCCTTCTGAAAGGTCACAACCTTGAAACCCCTGGAGCCCAAATCTACTCTGTAACAGAGTCGCCAGAAGTCAGAATCAACTCTGTGGCAACTGTTTTGGGTTTTGGTGTTTGGGGGCATCAGTCAGGGTGTCATGGAAATAGATCGCCAGGCCTTGTTTACGTGGCACCACTGTGGAGAACCATCAGCCTTTGGGTTATTAGGCAAAGGTAACCTATTGGTACCGCTCAAGGAAGTCAACAGGGGGATCCATGAAAAGTAGACTAATTCATCGCAGAAGAACCTGATGGACTATGAGATGCAGTGGAAAAGTCTAGCCTGAGAGAGTAATTAATACTTGTTAAGCACTTAAGGAGTCCTAGTGTTGATGTTGGAGTCAGAGAGATGGATGGATGGATGGATGGATGGATGGATAAATAGATGGATAAGTCCCATTCTCAGAATGACCCTTGGAAATGGGGGATTTTACTCAAAGACCGAGCTACTTGTCCTGGGGTAGCTCTGACAGAGAGGGGTAGCTCCGACAGAGAGGAAAGTGACCTAGATTCTCTCCAACCTCAAAATGAAGGCTCTGGTTACAATTTGCAGAAATCCTGGAGACTATCCCTAAGCCCCCATCCCCCACCATAGTACTTGCTACGGTCAATAAAACACTGGCAGACACATTCCAAATGGCTTTGAAATGGTTCTTAGCTAGCCTTGTCCTCCTGCACTTCCGCCACTTTGCACAGGAAGAAAATGCCCCAGGTAGCCGCTGCCCCTCCTTTTTCCGCTTACAGACTAGATCACACACATGGAGGAACTCTGCCACACCCAACCTAGAGCAGCCCACCTGCGTTTGCCGTGCAGACCCATGAAGGGAACAATGAACTATGCTCATTGTGGTCTCACACCGAGTCCCTCTGGTTTATGATGCAGGGTGATGGGGCAATAGCAGGAAACCACCGGGAGGCACATTTCTGCTCAACATGCACAGGTGAGTGCCTCTAGAATGAGGCTGACTGTCCGCAGGAAAGGCCAACGCCCCACCACTGCAGGTGGCTACACAGAGTCTGGACAAACCGAGGACAAGCCTCAGGTCATGGCATGATCAGTCATGAGGGCTGACCTGGATGCCCTAGAGTCTATCGGGGTTGGTATCCCTAGAACACTGCTAATCAACATAGCTGATTCAGGTGGCCCTCCTGACTCTGAAATCCATTGGGGCTTTGAAGCCTTCTCATATGCACGGTGAATGTCCAATTCCGAACGAAACCTTAGAATTACCGCTAGCCAAGGTGAGCCATTTCACTTCTTATGAGTAGCTCTTGTCTTTCATCTTAATATGAAGAAACCTCTTCTTCAAAGACTTTTTGCTATCACAGAGAAAGGCGAAGGCTACTTGTAGGTAATGAAAGGGCTCACCTTAGCAATCCGCGCCAGTTCTAGAGGGTGCCAATTCCTCAGACCTTGCCCCTCCAAATTCTGAAGAATGCCATAGGAGATGGCAATTCTGGAGACCTCTGCAGTGTCCCTTGGGAAGGCAGATTAGGGAAGCAACTTGCATTTGAGGCCACACGAGACATCTTGCATTTTGTCCCCTGGTCCAGCGTGGGCAGCAGCAAATGGATCGCCATGGACCACTGAGAGCTGTCCTAGGGGTCTGGCCACTCAGGGCTGTTGGGCGGATCATCAACAGGAGTTAATAAGGAACAAGGCAACGGGACAGAGAAGCAAAGGTGGCGAGGCTTTTGGCAGCCAAACAATCAGAAAATTCACCTGCCTCTTGGATTAGGAGGGTCCCTGGGAGGCACAGATGGTTAAACCCTTGAGTCCTAACTGAAAGGTTAGTAGGTGAACGCATTCAGAAGTGTCTCAGGGGGAAGACCCAGCCATCTAGCCACGTTATCACAGTCTTGGCAAACCAACGAAGTGAGGTCCTAGCTGCATGCATGGGGTCACCGTGACTCAGATGGACGCAGTGGCCACCAGCTTGTGTCTCCCCTATCCTCCTCAAGCTTAGAGCCACTATGAGTGGACCAAGGCAAGTTATCTTACCCTATGTTTGCAAGAGAGTGAGGTTTCTAATTCATGGCCCCGCAGCAGAGAACACTCCCTATCAGGCAAGCAGTCTCTAAGCCTCACAATCTGCAAGGAAGAAATCAGAGCTTCAGACATATTCGATGATCCTCTGCTGAGAATTTGCCTCCCCAGCACAAATGCACAAAACCAGAATCTACATTCAGGGATAGAACCAGAATGAACCCGTGTGAAGCCTTGCACCCAAGTCCCCCCTTCTCCATCTTCTTGCCTCTCAAATAGTGGCCTTTGAGCCACCAGCTTCACCATCACCTGGGAGCTTGTTAGAGATGCAGAATAGCATGTCTCATCCCAGGGCTCGTCATTTCAGCAGTACCCCAGGGGATGTCTAGACATAGGGAGGTGAGAGAATCCCTGGCCTATTCCCCATTCCCATCCACTAGCTGCCGACATAGGGTCCCAGGAGTCTCAGGGAAGGCAGAGCTCCAACAGAAGTGAATGCACTGTTTGGAGAATTCCCCCAGTGGTGAACCTGACACCCCCCCCCCAAAAAAAAAGCCAGGATACCCTCTTTCCAAGCTGAGACCCAGGAAAAGAGTTCAGGCTCTGCTCAGAAAGTACATTCAACTGCATTTTTTCCCCTTATGTTTTCAAATTTGTCTTATTTTAGTAAAAAGATTACATGGTCAAAGATACAGCTTTACAAGAACTTGTACA